TCTGAGTGTTAATTATGGATTTTCAATGTTCTGAGGAGAATGATAATTGGAACTCATCTGTATAACATTTTCTTCTTTCATGTTGCTGTTATTGCTGTTCCTATCACATATATGATTGCCTGTTGAAGAAAAAATATATGTCTGATAAATAATAGTAATAATAACAATGTTTCGTGTGCACTGAGATTGACATCAAATACCTTCCTCAAAAGTCCACCTTAGATGCGTGAGGGGTATGTGTGAAAAAACAGGCATCCTTTGTGGTGGCCCTGCAGATGTGGAATCCTCTACTTTCAGAGCTGCATCTGGTTACTATGCCACATTGATTTCAGGAGACTCTGAAAACATACCTTCCAGGTGTGAGGTTGTTGTTGTTGTTTGTTTCTCTTGCATCCTTTGCCAACATATTGCCCTCCAGCTATTTTGGACTACAACTCCTATCAACCTCAGCCAGCACAGTTGTAATCTAAAACATCTGGAACACACCTAAAAATAATATTAATAAATATATAATAATAAATAAAAAAGCAAGTGTTTGAGGGCCAAACTATGTTATGTTTTTATTATGTGAGATGTTTTAAGTATGGAGGTGGGGAGCAGCTTTCATTTAGACTGCAGAGCATGGTGAGGGAGGTTTAACCCTTCTCAAGGGCATGAGGGCTCTGGCAGGGTACTAGAGCCTTCCCGCCTTCTTCCCCAAACCCAGCAAGGACTTACCAACTTTGGGAATGAGGGGGCGGTGGCTCTAAGACCTACAAGAGCCCTCCTGCCTCCTTCCGAAAACCTGGTGCTTCTTACCTGGCAGGGGCTAGAGAGGGTCTCAAATTTTGGCCTTGCACAGGGTTCGCCCCCACTGCATTGGACTTGAACTTAGAGGGAAAACTTTCATTGATGTCAATGGTGCTCCTTGTGGGATCAAAGCTGGGTTGGTTTCCATCCATGATCATGGCCAGGAAGGGAGGGAATAAACATCCCTTCCCTGTGCACTTGATGCAAATGGAGGGGGAGCCTTCCATGCCTAATTATTTTAAAATCCAGCAATGTGTGTTTTGACCCTAAGGCTGTAATCATATAATCATATACCCAGTTACAAAGGAGTAAGCTCCACTGTACTCAATGGGACTTACTTTTGAGTAGGCAGGCATACAATGTGCTGCCATTGTCTTAAGGCTTCAGTGCTCTCTAAAGCAGACTGTTTGCTTTAACGCTGATTATAATCTCTACATACACACACACAAAGGCACGCTTCATAGATTCCATCTTTCCTGGACTAGCACAGAAAGATAAACAGTTTGTGTACCTCTATAAAGATGAATTATGCAGGATACGCAAGGGGAATAGTTGCATGCATCTTCAGAAGAGTGGCTTTCTAAACATATAAAAAAGAAATAAAATTCCACAAGGTGTAATTTGTCTGGCAGAGGGGAAAAAATGTGTATTTAAACAGAGAGGGGTTTTTGTTTGTTTGTTTGTTTTTAAATCATCTTAAGGCATTTTGCTGAAACCATCAATTACAGAAGTCACCACCAAGGACTGTGTCTCAGTGGTCATTTATCCTCTGGCTAACAGAGTACGGTATACTGCAAATCAGCACTCTGGTTCTGTGCAGCAATCAGGTACAAGAGTGACACTGGCAGGACAGAGGAACAATGGGGGTTGCTTTACACAGGGTCAGATCCATTGGCCCAGCAAACTCAGTATTGCAAACACAAACTGGCAGCAGCTCTCCAGGGTTTCACTATTCCCATTCTTACGTGGAGATGCCTGGGGATTGAACCTGGGACCTTAATAACAATAACCAATGCTCTCTATGGACACCTCAGCACCAGGACCTAGCCCAAGAACTGCAACAGCGGCCTCAGGAGCTCCCACCAAATCCTTTGCATGTCATGTTTGTACCTTTGTTTGTACCTATCTCCAAAGAGATTCTGACTTGCCCAAACCACAGAAGCTTGTACAAATGTATGCCCGTGTCAGGGCACAGCCATAGGCAGCAGTCAGATGTGACTCAAAGCTAAAGCTAAAACTAAAGTCAGATGTGACTCAAAGCTACAAGAGCCTGTTTTTTGGTTTTTGTTTACTCAAATTATCATCTCAAACAGGAACTCTTCCTGTCTGAAAGGACTCAATGGCCAACCAACTGCCACTCAATCCAGAGAATGATAATGTTGAATCGCTTAGAATAATGTTCCAATCACTGTTCTGTGACTCACCACATGGGGACAGCTGCCAAAGAGTCATTTCTAGTTATAGCCCTGGTAGAGACTTACAGCTGGTCAAAACAAATATTGGAAAACACAGTACCAGGACATCACAACCAGCAACAAGATCTAGGTAACCACCAAGGCTTTTTTCCCCCAGCTGGGCACTTCAGTTTTTCTAGATACCATTCTCACTGCTGGGCAAAGTGAAGTCACGCAAGATCCCTTCTGTTTCCATTCCTCACTATGAATCTCTCTGCCAAACTCTTTATGTTTTAGATGCTGCATGAGTATGAGCCATCTTCACTACCCTTGTGAGATGCTGAATTTTTCTTATCAGGCTACAAGACATGCTCCATCCAATGCCTTACAATAGACTCAAGCCTCTACTAAAATGCTGATGACTAAAATGCCTTTTCCTTTCTTCCTTAGGAGACCTTAACATTTACGCTCACAGTATAGCAAAGTCAGCTCTGGATTCCACACAGTGATGTAAGAGAAACTACAGCAAATCCTGATTCCAGCCCATTTTTTGGTACAGCCTCACAAACTAAGCTAGGAAATATATGTCATTCCTTATTCCATTACATTACTCTTACATTAACATTAGCAGCAGGATTACCCCAAAAAAGTAAATGCCAATTTCATGTGTTTGGGATGACAGGAGTGCCTGGCGTGCTCTGGTCCATGGGGTCATGAAGAGTCAGACACTACTAAACAACTAAACAACAACAACAGAATTTTTACTACCAAATGCAACATTTGCTGTACTAAGGATGGAGTTGGTGCGTGGCACTAAGAATCCAGTTAAGATAAAACATTTCCACTCAAGCCAACCTCCGTTCTAGTAAAAGGGCAGGATTGGGACTGCAGCAGAACTAAAGAGATCTTCCAGCAGATTCTGAACCTACCTGGTATAAGTACATTGCATTCTCCCTCCTGTTCTGCCCAGTTGCTGCAGTGCCTGTGCATTTTATGTGCAGGACTGTAGTTAACCCTTCTCAGTTTCTGTTTTTAAAATATATGTATTGTACTGTGACCTTCTTACATTTTTATTTGTTGGAGGGAAAGTATTTTTGTCCTTCACATAAAGCGGAGCCTGTACTAGTGGATTTCTGCAATTTGGTATTAGCCAATGTGCAGCTGATCTTTGAGAGCTGCAGTGATCCACAGGTTGGATGCTTGGTGTATGAATAACTGGTTGAACCCTGGATGTGTATCAGCACAAGCATTCCGGGTGACAGCAGTGTAATCATCAGAGTGATTGCTATGTTGGTGCCTGCATGGTGTCAGGCCAGGGACCAGTTTTATACTACACAAAGCATTCATCACCCTGCTTGCTATTTTGGATCTATATCTGCAAATAGCACAGCTCAAGTTCAAATTGCTACTAAACGTATGATGGAAGAATGTTTTGCAGCTGGTTCATTTACCATTACTGGAAGACATGAAAGACCATCTCATCCACACCTTCTCACCACGCACTGTCTGTTGGAAGGCTGAACCACCCACTCAAACCATCCACTGGTCAAATCATACAATTGAAACCACAGTGGCCCACCAGAATTGGAAGCATAAGATAGCCATCTGATGTTTCACAGGCAGCTTTTCAGAATGCTACATGTGGAAGCATTATTCTCGGTCTTCCTTTCAACTATAGTATTGTGTGTGTGTTTTTTAACAACAACAACATTAGCACCACTATTCTTTCAATAATACTTTATCACTGAACAGGCTTTACCATTCTCAACTTGTTCAGCATTTTTTGATTGGCCATGGTGAGTCCTTTTGCTGGCTCAAAACTGAGACTCAGAGATAAAGATGCCCAAGTCCAACCTATGAAATATTGTATGAGAACAGAGGCAAATTCAGGGTCTTCATTGTCTGAGTCCAAGGTGCCAGCCTGACTCTACAGAGATAAATCCTATATTCTGACTCTGCATTACAGATACTACCACATCACTTTATTTCATGAAAGCATCTAATGTGGCCTCACAAATACTACACAACCATTCATGATCAGGGCTACAGGATATCCATGTTAAAACAATGTTTGTGATACAGCACGGAGTAGCTCCAGCTATTTTAATAATGCTGAAACATGTGCAACTGTGTAACAGATTCCACAATTTAGTGGAAACATCTGCTCTGAGCATATTACAATCAAACAGGAGTTGCACAATAGCATAGTATGTATGTATGTATGTCCAAAGGCTATGAAAAAGACACTGCACCCCAAATGTGTCCAGTGTATCTGATTGTGATGGGTGAGCCCTCACACCAAAAATGAAAGTTTAGAAGATTTGTTGCACAATTTCAATTGCTCATCATTCCTAATGAATCATTATGTCATCGTGCTTTCTAAATACACTTCCTAGAAAAGTGTGCTGCTGTTTGTTTGTTTTTTTAAAAAACTAATTGCTTTAAATTGCTTGGCTGTTTGTTTACTTTTGCCTTATTTTGTAATCTTTAAACATCTGCTAGCTGAGCAGTGCTGAAATTCAAGCTTTCAGGATGTCCACACATTTTTAGCATTTCAGAAGTTAGCCAATCTGAGACAAGCTTGTTTAATTCATTAATTTGACACACTGTGATCTTTCAGCCAGGTATCAAAGATGACATTACTTTCATTATGCACAATATTTTCTAACACATGAAATCGCACAAGCTTGGATACAAACTTAGACATACTTGGAGTGTAGACCCATTCAAATACGTAAACTTCAATTAGTCAAGACTAACTTCCAATTCAACTGATTTCAATGGGTCTACTCTGACCAAATCTGGATCACACCGAACTTAGAAAGTCTGAAAGATTTCCAAAACACTTGAAATGAAATGCTATCTGGGGGAAGCTGTATAGTCCACTTTTCTCCACCAAGTTGCAAACCATCAGTCAAACAAAAGCGATGCCTTTACTGTTTGGAAAGTCAAGCAACAAAACATAACACCAAATCAGCAATAGGAAGGCAATAACAGTGTAACTCTGAGCAATACTTGCCTATGTCCATGTAACTTTGCATGTGGAATGCTATTGACAGAGAAAGACAATCCATCTACCGGAACTTAAAACAAAGAATGGCTAGCATCTTCAGGGCTGACCACAAAAGGCGGCTCACAGACCCTCCACAAGTGCATTAAGCTGTATTTCTTTCACTCATCATTTCTTTCACTTCTCCGTTGCATGGAAGAGTAATGCCTGACCTGGCACAAACTACCAGGAATGTAATTAAACTCCACCAGCAGAACAACTACATATGTGGAGCTTAATATTTCTGGATTTCTTCTTCTTCTTCTTTAAACTGTACTTTATGTTTACTACTGCTTATGCAGAAAAGGAGGGGGATGGTCCTGGACCCTTGTTGCGATACTTTTTTTTGGAGGGGGGTTGTCTACTCATGTTTGTGATTGGTGTATGCACCTGTGTGCTTTTGGTCCTGGGCCTACTGTGTTGCAATACTTTTCCAGTCCTCTTTCATCAAAAGTTACCAAGTTGGGGCATTGTGCCCCCTGACTGCTCCACTCTCCTTTTCTCTCTCTCGAAACTTCACTACAGATACGGATAAATGGAACACCCCAGGTAGCTGTGTGAATGTGTGGAGAGAGAGGGGGGGAGCCTTTCCAGCCTGGGTAGAGAATCAGTGTGGAGATGGGTGAGGGTGGGGAGGAGGGGCAAGTGCTATTTTGGAGGTGTAGGAAAGTCTGGCTTTGTGGGAAGTCTCTCTCAGGTGAATGTAAACATATATGTGCATAAACACACACACTCACCTGCTCTGGGCCCTGAAAGCAGATCCTGCAGAGCGGTGTCCTCATGCCACTGTCCAAACTGCTCCCCAGGGAATACCGATCTTCCGCCTTCCCTTTGCAGAAGTCCTCGGAGGAGGCGCTGCTCATCATAGACATGGGCTGCTCTCCCTCTCCTCCAGGACTTCCCCACTCCTCTTCTGGAGGGCTCGTTGGCCCCCCTCCCCCTCCTCCTCCTCCTCCTCCACCACCACCCCCGGCAGTCGGCGCTCTCCAAGGTCCCCTTCGCCCTCCATAGAGCGTGGTCAGCGTGTTGTTGTTAGAAGCCTGCAAGCTCAAGGCTTGGTCTCCACTGTTCATGGGAGGGAGAGGCGGCGGCGAGGGCGGAGGGGGCGCGGGGGGTCTCCTCAGGAGGAAGACCTTCAGGTCATTGAACAACATGCGGCAGCGGCACTTGAGGAGACCCTGGTGGCGCAACATCTGTCTGGGGATCAGCAATCCGCAGCAACAGTACCATAAAACGATCGCACCGGTTGGTATTAACATGTGCCTTCCCTTCCAGACAGGCACGGGTGGGAAAAAATGGGGCCGGTAGGGGGCACCCAAGAGCAAGAGGGCTGGATTGGTTAATTTCCGTTTCCTTTTCCCTGCTCCCACCCGAATTCACTGATACATATATAAGAGCTAGCTAAATAACAAAAGTGGAATTTGTAGGAAGATCTTTCGGATATTTCACAGCAACCCCGTTTTAAAAACACACACACACAACAATCATGAGGTTTCCTTTTAAAACAACAACCACAAAATATTGATTTCAAGCTCCTCCTTCCCACATCTCCTTTTTTTAAATGAGCAATTCCACAATTCCTTTTAAAAAAGTTAAAATGAAATAGTTATGGAAAGAAGCCTTATCCACTCCAAGTGCTGGGTAGGATAGTTCGGAAAATGTGTTGGAAACTGATAACAATTGGTAACTCCAAAAAAAGGAGGAAGTGGAAGAGGAATTCAAGTCACCAGAAGGTGTGGAGAAAATAAATATATGTGTGTATATAGTTTTTTCCAACAGTATTTGGCATGTCAAGTATTTCTCCTTATTACTATTTTTATTTAGTTGGAACGTTTTAAAAATGTGTCTCTGACAGAATATCAGCAGAGCAGATCATTAATAAAATGCAAAATTAGTTCTTGTTTCTATCATCATAATCATTATTAATAGTAATATCAAAACTGATTTCATTGAAAAAAGATGCACACATTTCTTGGGGGAGAGGGGAAAACACACCCTCGATGTGAAATCCTCACCGATTACTTGAAATGTTACTTTATTAAAATATTCTCAATAGAAAATTTGAAAGTCCTGAAAGGAAGTGAGTATTAAATGAGGTTAATTTTTTATATACCCAAATTCACTGGATTTTGTTTTCACTCCCCGTTCCAGGAACTGTCTGGACCACACTCACGCATACACACATTATTATTATTATTATTATTATTATTATTAGGATTGAGGAGGGGACGTGGATCTTAGTAATTCCTCAAATGGTTTTCCCTCCTAGACTTTGGGGAGGAAAACAAATCCGTAGAAAACGGTTCTATCCTTTTCGCACGAAATTGACCAAGAGAACGTGGATCTTACATTGTCACGTTTCCTTTCCCCTTTCACAAAATAGGGACGTCATCAAACGCATTGACAGCCTGTACAGACCATTGTGGCTGACGCGGAGGAAAAGGTGCGTTCAGCAGATGCAGGGATCTCCTTTTGATGCATAAGGCTCCTTCTTTTCCGCCGCTACAACCGTCTCCAGTTTCATCTTCCTCTTCCCCTGTCCTCCTCCTCCTCCTCCTTCTCCTCCTCTTTCTCTGACTGTTGTTTTCGCTCAATGGCATTGACGCTCAACCATTGCAAGTCTTTAAAATAAAAAGAGGTGGGGGTGGGGGACCCCACACGTAGATAGTATCCTCGGCTTTGGGTAAGGGGAAAAAATGAAAGCAGGCTTGTTAGGAATACGATGTGCCAGATCGAGAAGGGGGAAAAGCGAAGAGTGGGGGTATTTTGCTTGAAGCTCCTCGCGTCTGGGCAGCGATCAGCTTCTCCCTTTCACCAGCCTCCCCTCAGCTCTCTCCCATCCGGCTTTCAGTGATGATGTGGCTGTTGCTACCTCCTTGGGATGCAATGGGAAAGGAGGATAGTTTTGCAGTGCAAATGGGGATGTTGAGGAAGGGCGGGAGCGAGGAAGGATGGGTGGAACGTGATTCTCTCTCCTCCTCCTCCTCCTGCTGCTGCTCAGCCCTTAAATAAATAAAGCCAAGACAGAAAAGCGACGGCGGGGGGAAAGAGCGAGCGAGCGGGAGAGGGAGGATAAATTCAGGTTGTTGCCCAGCCTTGCTTCTCTCCGCCTCCAGGGCCGGCAGTCGCTGTCAATAAACCGTTTGGGGTGGGGGAAGGAAAGGTCTTGCTTAGCATAGAAAATATGCCCGGGAAGCTGGCGGAAGCAGCGGCGGAGGGGGGCTGGTCAGAGCTGCTGCAGTTTCAGCACCAAAAGGCTATGGACAGCTCCCTTGCCTAGCTTGGCGCGCTACTGGGGAACTGACGCAACTAGCAGAAAGATCCGAAGAGTAAGAGGGGTGGGGGAAGGGACACACACACACACACACACACACACACACACACACACACACAGAGTGCTCGTATGAGAGAGGGGGCGGGGGGAGAGACTAAGTGCTACTGTGAGCCGCCTTGTGTTAGCTTCCACCCTCCCCAGCAATAAATTAGGTCCTGCGAGTATTATGTTGATATGGTTGAGGCTACTGTTTCCTTTGCTGCCTGCCTGTTCGTCTGCTCCGTGTGTGTGTGTGTGTGTGTGTGTGTGTGAAAAAGAGACGGTGTCTGTGGGTAAGCTGTAAAAGCGTGTGTCCCTGTATGTTTGTGCGTGGGAATTGCCTGCCTTCCACTTTTCCGCGTGAACGTGGAAGGGTGATCACTGTGCGCGTCTCGTGGGAAGGCAAAGGTAGCTCCTATTCCGCACGCCGTATCTATGCATCTGCGAGTGTGCCATACATCCCTAAGAGCGATCTCTACGTGGTTGTCTGTGAACAGAGGAGTGTGTGTCTGTGGCGCTGCTTCTCTGTTTTCTGGAAGCTGTGCTTTACCTGCGCGCACCTATGAGTATTAGGAACACATTTTCTTTGTGTGTGTCGTTGGGATGTTGTGAGAGTAGGAACTGATCTCTCACCTGCACAGCTATTTTATGTATATAAGGTCTAGTATCCTTTTTATCTGCTTTGCGGGAGAGGGGGTTGTTTTATTAGTTTATCTGCTTAGCAAAGTGCAGTCATAAAGTGCAGATATCTGAAGGACAGCAACTCAATTTGAGCCAGGGTCTTTAGGAAACTAGTGTGGGTGCCTTGAATGAGGAAGCTATGCTTCTATATATCTGTTTTTATTTGTGTGTGTTTAAGTGGAGAATGTGTGTTTCGTTTCTCCGCATAATATGAGGACTTTCACCCCGTCCCATCAGAATGCTTGTATTATTAACAGCACACTTGTGACACTGCACATGTGACTTGATGACCCCTGTTCTCAAGTGGCATGGCATAATTTTGATCGTGTTTCCTCATGAAACTTAACACACACAATAGCAGAGCCTCCAAGAACAACAGCCACTGATCATCTTCAGGAATACTTTCCCCCCACACAGGAAATATTAGCTCACTTCACACATGAAGGGTTTCAGGCCACTTAGAATGAGATGATTTAAACAAATATATTACATGTTTTGGCACATCAAGTGATCCATTCTACTGCTTAAGTTTAGTTGTTACTTCCAACAGGCTTCACTGAGATATCAGAAATGATGGGTTGTACGTAATTTAAGGGCAAAGTAAGTCAGTAAACTGAGTTGTGGGTTGATGGGTCAAGGCTTGGTGGGCCAAATCAGACCTGCAGGCTGCTAGTTCACCACCTGTTCTAGAAGATGTGTAATCCTGCATGCAGTTCAGAAGATTTCAAAGAGGGTAGTGGGTAATCTGGTTCTTCTGAGGCAACCCCCCCCCCGAGATTAATTAGCGGCAGAGGATTTGATGGCTTACAGGTATGATTATCTATATTTTCATTAATGCCGGGAGATGCTTTGCTCATTAAGAAATATATTAATTGTGTCCTGTTGTGTTGTTCTCTTGAATACATTCCATTATCACATACCATGGTGGCAGTGTGACTATATGTGAGATAGATCTATCATCTTAGTATGGTACTGATTAAAGTATCATGGCTGCAAAGGATGCATGTGCTATATTTACACTCTACCTTGTTACAAAAGGTACACAAGGTAGCTCACATAAAATCAACATAAAACAATCAATCAATATAAAAATGTGACCTAAAAAAACAGTAACAGAAACAAGCCATGATGCAAAACTAAAAACCAAGTAGGGGAATACACAATAAAATCAAGATTGTAACAAAATCCACTTAAATAAATTCATATTTATCACACACCTAAAAGCAGGCCACGAGTGCTCCATAACCATATTCATTTCTCAGGTATCTATATGCTGTTTCTCAGCCAGCAGTGTACCTTGAAGAATAACTTCTGCAGTGAAATGTAAGCCTCAGGCATGTTCATATGGAGGGATATGGTTCAGAGATATTCTGGTTGCAAACCATTTAGAGGTTTAAGCCATAACCTTCAAGTGAGTATGGACATGCACTGCCAACCAGTGAAGCCAACAGAGGAATGATGTAATGTGGTATGAAGGGGTAGCTACTGATTGAATCCTGGCAGATGCATTTTGGACTTGCTGAAGTTTCTGGGCTGTTTTCAAGGCTAGCCTTGTGTAAAGTGTACCTGAATGACTGAGGACAAGCCTGATGGAGAACTCCTCTGGCTTTCTGTATATTAATTTGGCATTTGGATTGTCCTTGGACATTCTTTAGGCCTGCCCAGGCAGTTCTGCTAGTCACATGCATACCACAGCTGGTTGTAGGTTTGCATTGCAAGATGTGGCCGTGCTTTGCCTCAAACCCTTTTAGGAGGCTAGATCATGGGAAGCCAGAACAGGTCCTCTTCAGCACTGGTGCTTAAGCCTCCAAGGAGGTCCAAAAGAAACTTATTTTGCTAGGATTTCCATTTGACAATTTGACCACTGCTGCTGGTGTTAAGTCACTGGTGCTTTTAAACTTAGTGTGTGTGTGAGTTAACATGGTGTTCTGTATCAGTGTTTTATATCAATTATTCCAGAAAATAGATGCTGCAGATATACACTTATACGCACATGGAAAATCCCACAGAGATTGTTAATATACATGTAAGGCACACTCACAGATACACAAGTGGAGAGACCACTGTTGCAGTCAGTTCCTGCGTGTAGGCTTCTCATGGGCATCTGGTTGGCTACTGTAGGATAAGAATGGTGGGCTATATGGGCCCTTGTGCTCTTGAATACATCTTATATAATGTTGTGGAATCATTTGAATGTCC